AACAATAGAATCAGCAGGACCTGAACTTGTTATTAAACAAAGTAACATCAGAAAATCAAGGTGGATTACAACCGTTAAATAACATCGGTAACTTCTTATTTATTATAATCATTGTTTCTTTATGGAGTACAATCCGTATTTAATACAATAGTATCAAACATTCGACTAATAAAGAAACAAATATGTTGGTTGTTTAATTTTATAATCAATCGTAGTCATCAAATCAATCGCAATTAAATCAAAAGGAATTAAACTTGTTACGGAGTAACGTCATATAATCAAGGCGGTTTATAGTCGAACATAAATTGCAGTGAAGTTGAAGTCTTTTTCTAAGCTTTCAATCTTAGTTCTACAAATTTGTCAAAATATTGTTCGTTCATGTAATCCGAAGTGCGGGAGACTTTTTCTTTTTGTACAAGCTACAGAACTTTACATTAAACAAACGTTTACGATTGTAACCGCCTTAGATTTGATATAGCCCTAAGATCTAAACCTTTTTAATGTTTCTTCAATCTCTTATAAAATGAGATAAGTATGTGGTGAGAATTAAACTTGAGACCTGCTGATTGTGAGTCAACTATTTTCACACGGAGTCTGTTACCACATTTCAAATAATTATTTGTATTCCGGGCTACATTCAGAAACTTTATCCGAATGTGTACCTATGTATTATTTTACTTGTTCATCGAATGTTAAACAAAGATAAAATAATATATGGGTTCACCCGAGTGAAAATTCTGAATACAGTCCTGATATGTCAATCTTTCAGACACTGCAGGAGCCTCATGTCTGCTAGACATGGACAGTCAGCAATACAATCTTAACTGGAATTCCTCTGATTTTGCGGATTTTGGAAACCTCACCGCAAATTTATCAACTGGATTATCTATCTCCGATTCTATACAAGTAAATACTTTACGCGTGCAAGTTAATATTTAACGGAGTATTTATTGTTCACATACATATAATATACAATTCTTAAATTAATTTTTGTCTCATTTTAGTCTGAAGTGAACAACGTTGAAGAAAGAAACATGAACGAACGTATTTCATGGATAAATGTGAACCAAGAACTTTCCGTTTTAGATAATAAGATACTCACAACCAATCGAGAAAATGATGGCTGAAAATATAACTGAAGCAATTTTTTATCAAAAGATATGATATCGTACTAAATAGTACATAAAAGCACTACTACACTACTACTATTACTACGAGAGAGAGAGAGAGAGAGAGAGAGAGCGCTAGAGGTGTTACAGCATACCTTTTAATCTAATGTTATTTTGGCTTAATGCTAGATTGGTCAAAGAAATTATGATTAAGAAACTCACGTTTCAGCTACAGTTTTATGCACACTAGTGCTCTTTTCACTGCCTTCGAAAAAATTGATCGAACTATTTTTCTTATAAGAAATAAGCTAAAAAGACATCACGTCCAACACAAGAGCATATATAAGAAGACATATAAATTTATTTCGATATGTAATCTGTATCTTGTTTACACTTAATTTATAGTTTATACATTGTTTAGGAAAATGTATAAACTTTCATGACAAAATGAACAAAAAGAAATGCTCTGCTCTAGTTAGATATTTGATACACAATTGTCATATACTCATCGGCGAGCATTAGCTGAAACAATATGGAATTTTGATATTCAGTTGTTTGTGATATACAATTTATCTTTATGTAATTATACATAATCGGCATTGTCTGCCCAAGATAAATTGTTCAGTCCGTGATCTGAAAGTGATATTGGCGCGAAGTGTTTGTTCTGCTGACGTTATTAAAGCAGTGTCGATGTACGAAATATTGATTGTGTGGTGCGTGTGAGTAAATGCTCTGTCTGTGATCAAAGTTCATAACTTGTTTTTCATACGTATATAAATTGTATAATATTCTTCGCGACAAATGGAATTATGCGCAATAACCAGGAGAAATTGTGCCCAAGTGAACAAATTTGTAGGCAATACTGTAAATTATTAGATTAGATATGAATATTTGCATGCGTTTTTTATGTTTATTGTTACAACAGCTTTATCTTTTATCTTTTTTTGCACAGTTACATACGTTTCTACAAAATCGCACTTTGTACATTTACACACTTGACATATGATTTTTATATTAAGGATTAATGTAAAGAAAGGGTGTAGTAAAAAGACGTTGAAAAGTCATCGTATTAAAAAATTTTCGATGAATGTTCCGTCCAGGGTTCAGGTACTTTCATTTTATACATGTTTATGGAAGCTTTATTTAAGAAAAATATAATAGTAAGAGAAAAAGTGCAATTCTCTATAATCTATCGAACAATTTTATTAGATTAAGTAACATAGCAATGACAGTGTTTTGATATAAAATATATTTTTACAATCACACACACCTCAGGTAATTTATTACTGTAACGTGCAGGAAATGTTATAAGGAATCATCTTATATCTAAGAACTATACTTTATTATTTACCATATACCTGTAATATGTAAATAAAAAAAGTTGTTATAAATATAAGAAAATGTGATATTTGACTTTAACAATTTCATATAAATTTTATGATTTTATTGCTGTTTTACATCATATGTCATGCATAAATGTGTTCTTTCATAAAAGCATTGTCATAAACATTAGAAGAAAATTAAACGCAATGGAAAGTGAAAGAACAGTAAAATATGATATATATATATATATATACACACATCGATCCTTAGTTTACTGTATCGGATCATTCTGTGAGCACTTAATATCCTGTTTAAAGATACAACAAAGTGCATATTTACAGTTACGACTGCATATTTACATAACATCGATCGATAAGTAGCGCTCTCGTGTACTTAGCATGAAAAAGTCGGCAGTGAACGCTTGGATTATTTCAATATAAAAATGTAGCTTACATACATGTATATATACGGCATACAACTGTCGTATAATATTACTTTACAATTTTTCTCAAGCAGCGTCCCTGAATTGCACAAATGTATTCACAAGGATGTAGCAATACATTATGCAAGTATACGTATAATCCACAAACGGGGAAGAAATAATTTGCTTCACACACATGTGAAGAATAAAAAAGCCATCCGTGTTGTTTTCCAAAATGTATTTACTTAAAAATACAATGAAAGTTTCAGTTTTGATGGAATGGGCAGAAATATATAGTCTGTGGTGTGTCGGTTACTTGTAATACGTTGAAAGAGATGATGCAAATGGTATCCTGTACAAAAGTAGCTTGAACAAGACTTATGAACACACAAACCAAATTCTTAGCCTAGAATTTTCGTTTATATTAAATCGTGTGACACACATGTCATTTACCAGATTTGATGTCTTAAAACTTCTTTTCATGCTTACCTAACAAATGTAGGGGTGTAACGGTACGTGGGCGATCAGCCTGATTGATTGTAAGACCCGTTAGCACCAGTAAGTGAATTTTGTGAGTCGCGTCGAGTACTCGAGCGCGAAGAAGAGTACCGTACTCTGCCGAGCTTGACACAGTACAAAACGCAAGTCTTTCTCTTTTTTTTTTTTTCCAGGATGTGTGTTGCCAACGGGGCTTGGCATTGTATTTAATAAAATTAAATGGACCTATGCTTATAATATGTATAGTATAGTATACTATGAAACGCTAAAGTACTGATTTTGCTCAGGCACCTGTACTTTAAGATAGTCCTTTGCCAATTTGTCATCGTCAAGTTACTATCTTGAAGTAACACGTGTAAATACAGCAGCGTATAAAATCGTAGATTAACAGAGACTGCCGGAGATGGTATGACCTGCACGCATCACAATGACATCGATCGGCTTTGTTGGACGCGTTACATACATGTTATGAGGAGTATTCGAATTTTTTTTTCTTTTGTACCATCGAATCGTCCGATGGTAAGAGATTTTTGTAAGTATCAACATTACACGAGTCCAACCTCCATCTCCTTGGTTTCCATACAGAGGGATTTTTAGTCCGTGTGGTTTTCGAGCAGCCTTTACCGCTCGTTTCTCCTCATAGTTTTCAGATATTAAACTCATCACTACTTACGAGAACGAATTCATTTTCTCTGATCTAACTGCGTTTTATTTAACTATCTCATTCGAAAATATTTGTACATTAAAACGTGGGACATCTTCTCGCATTCAAATTATCGTTACCTTTATTTAATTATTATGCTGCTATGGTACAATGGTATAACCGCAATGTCTCTTCACCCTTTTATCTAATAGTCTCCCGAAAATAAGTAGCGACACGGACACGCCAATCGCAATGATTCGCCGACTCTTGCATAAAGAGAAATCTTTTCAGTTGTTGAACCAGCAAAACAACATCATCATTATCGTCAATGTCAACATTGTAGGTTACTAAAAATTTTTAAATACCATCGTCAAATCTGGTGTGTACATCGTCATTAATATCGAAACGTGGACTATATATATATATATATGTGTGAAAAAGTATGAGAATGAATAAATATCGCTAACTCATTTTACAACAGTCCAAGAATCATTGCCATGAAAATAGTCCACAATAAAGTCGAGATAAAATCATAATAGATAAAAGTAACACTGAAACGCTCGAGTTACACTCAAATGAGAACATTCAAAAATAGGGAGAGTAATATATAATTCACAATATATAGTTTGAAATTTTTTTCTCTTTTATAATTTCACGTCATGTACGGCAGTTCTGGAGTTTTATATATGTGTATATATATGTATGTATGTATATATTATATATATTATATACACACACACATATATATCTCTGTGGTGTGTGTGTGTGTAGATTTATCTATGTATATAATTGAACTCTTATCTTCTATAAAAAATGATATAGTTGATCAAAATGAATAGAGAAGGGTGATGGGGCCCTTACACTTTACTAGTTGACTGTTCGATGCTCTCCCTTATCTATGCCCAAGCTTAAAGTGTAACAACCTCTCCGCATTATATTACGTTTACATAATATTATCGTTAATAATAAAATGTTTCTTATCCCATAACTTTATACATGCTATGTATAATTATTATGCAATATTAAAGTCACATGTTATTCATCCATATTACTTGACGCGAGCGTTGCATTTACCTTAATTCCTGTCTCTATACCAAACAGGAGCACGAAGCGGTGTTACGTCTATTTTTAAGATTTCTCTCATTTTAGTATACATTGAATGCCGAGAGATGTCCATTCATGCCTATTTACTTTATTTATTTGCCGTATATGTTACGTATGAATCGCTTAATTCTGCTCGATGGCCTCGCGCTCCTGTGAAGACACTGCAATTACACATTTCTATTCGAGAAGAAGAACTCAACATATCACACGCACAAGGTGAGAGACATTCGTCGAACTACAAACGTAAATTTGATTTTAAATGTAAAAAAATCATCACCTTCAAATATCAATTTTACACTATTTAAATATAAGTTTTTTTTTATATCTTAAATAAGTTTTGTTATTAATTGTCCCGACGAAAAAAGCCAGATGACGGCAAATACCAGTTAGTAGGTGGTTCGGATAAAACGGTAGATTCGTCTTGAAAATCGTGCACATGAACGATAGAACGATCGATCGCGATGGAAATAAGAATTTAGACAGCAAATAAGATCAACTCATCGAATCCTCAGGACGAATATACAGTTATCATTCAAACTACCTAATAGCATTTGGTGACGGCTAAACCAGAATTGCGAAAAGCCAAGACAAGTAGAGAATTGCATCTAATGCGTCAGCCCACCACAATTCTGGTGAGGTGGTAATTTTTACTTGTAGGTCGGAAGATAGAGAGGATCCAATAACACGGATTGGGCACGATGGATATCAACATTGTTACCAACCACTCAATATGAGAGTAAGTTTGCTGAGTTTGCCAAAAATCGACCATGATGTCGTCACGTGCCTAACGCCTCCCTTCTTAATTGCATAATGTTTTCCCTTTTTTCATTATGCGTCGTCTTCATCGTCTTCTACCTCACCTTCTACTTCACCTTCCGCGTCATCATCCTCTTCGTCTGTAATGTAACAATAAACGTGTTTCAGTGAGTAGAAATATTTTCATTTAAAAAATCCATTCGAAATACGGTTATTCGATAAATCGCTTATATTTACCTTCTCCTTCTTCTAAATCTTCTTCACCTTCTGGTATGTCGTCATCATCGTCATCTTCCTCTCCATCACCATCTACTTCCTCTTCCTCTTCGATTTCTTCCTCAATTTCTTCTTCCTCTACCTCGCCATCTCCGTTCTCCTCCTTTTTCTGTTTCTTTGTTTCTTCATTCTTCTCCTGCAACATAAAAGAAACAATTTTTTTAAAACAAATCTCGAGATAAATAGGCAGCTGTGAATAAACGAGCGACTTATTACCGATTACGAGTGTCCCGATATAGAATTTAGATTCATGTTTGATATCTCGTCTCATTTTGCGTACACAAGAAGGCGTACCCCTTTTTCAGCATCAAATGGATAATAGAAAATACGGCGCCGGCGGCGGTAGCGAAAGAAGGACGGAGGAAAGCGTACCGGCCGGCGAGGATAAGATCCCTTCCCGCCAAGAAATACGGTGGCGCGGAAAGGGAGGTACAGTGGGGGATTTTCCCTGCTCGCTAAAATACGGTAGAAACAGGAAAAGAGAAATGGCGGAGAGAACTGAGCGATCCGGCAGAGCCGAAAACACGAAGAACAGGTAGTAGAGGAGAGTATCACAACTTTACCGATAAACGTTTAGCTCGCGGAGCTGTCCTGTGACTTCGCCCCCGCGTACTTCAAAGCGACGCGTGCTAAAGGTGTGTGCGTGTGCGCGCGCGTGTTGCGCGTACGAAAAAGAGAGGGAGGGGAGAGAGAGAGAGGGAGAGAGAGATTGGTTAACGTACTTTACGTAAAATAGGCAAAAGGGAATGTAAACTCTATAGTCGCCTATACACGCGTGCAACGCTAATTCCCTCCTATCCCCCCGCCCAGCAGTTGTAGAACCATGCCCTTGATCCAGTCCCGATGGCCCGTAACGGCCATAACGCAATAAGTATCATAGTTTATCGATTTTAAGAGAGAAGGGGAGAACGACAGCAGCCGAGAGCCGAGTTTACTCCGAGGGCAATCTAAAAGCATACCGACGAGAATCCCGAAATCGTTTGATGACTCGATGTATTACTTTGAAATACGATTTATCGCGACAGCCGATCGAGATCGCCACGATAAAATACAGCGCGCTGGGTAGCATGGCGTCCGCTCCGATATGTCTGAAAGTGTTGGAGCGACACACTCCGCAACGGTTTCCAACATTCGGCATATTCTAATGTCGCTCCGGTTTTGCACGGTTGCGAGAACCGCGTCGGTAACACCGGACTCGTGACCATACGGCGTATCTGACTGATCATGGTGGTAGGAGCGAAGCTGATAGTGATGGTGATGACGGCGGCGGCAGTGTGATGATGATGGTAGTGGTAGTAATAGTAGTGGTGTGGTGGTGGTGGTGGTGGTGGTGGTAGCGGCTGCCGCCGGCTGGCGTAACATCATACACGCGCCGTACGTATCGGCGGGTATGAGAAAGAGGCTTTGGATGCGCGCGCGGAGCCACGCCAGCCAATCGGAGACGCGCGAACCGACGATGCACAGTGGGAAGACCGCGGTGATTGGCAGATGACGGAGCCGCGCGCCATGGCGGGGATACGTTCGCGCTGCGTGCAATTCGCAAGTGAGCGAGCGAAGTAACAGAGGAGAAGATAAGGGAGGAAGATACTGAAGCAGCGTGCCAAGTGTCGTGCAACGCGAAGCCTTCGAATAAGAGTATAAATCTAAACTAAAAAAAAGCCGAGCATTCCATGACGATATCACGACGGATATCGCGTCAAACGAAAGAAGAATTACCGCGGGGACGCCCCGCATATCGCATCGAAAGCGCGATCGATCGCGACGCGATCTATTATATTATTACTCGATAGTAATAATAATAATAATATCGAATTATCTATATTTATTATCTATATTAATATCAGAAGTAACTAAAACGATGACGCGCAATTTGGCTTTCAATGGCGGCAAATGTTCTCGAAGCAAGATCGAGAAACACTCGACGCTCAATCAATGTTATGCTCTTTCTCTTCCCCCCCCCCCCCCCCTCTCTCTCTCTCTCTAACTCAACCTGGAGTAATTGTATCACCGTATATGGAGTCTCGACCTGTTGCGATAAAATGCTAATGAGAGATCGGTTACCATCGGCGTCTACAAACAATAGTAATCCGATCAAAGAGCTGACGCGCGGGTTATTTCGAACTCGCCGGCAGCTCGCAGCCGCCGCTACTCTTATTCGTCAACTCGCGAGTGTACGGCGTCTCAACATGAATGACAGCAGCACGTTCACGCCGTTGGTTGGTCGCTGAACGACGACGCTGCTGCCGCTTGTTATCCCCGCACGATTACCTATCTATCCGTTCCCAATATCATAAGGTCTCGCAGATAACCCAATACTCGCTAACCTATCGTATAGACTACTCATGTAATTTCTTCGAACGATCGGCGCGATGAACGCCCATTACGTAATTAACACATGATGCGTGTTAATCGGTGGATTATCAGCAAGATCGGTAATCTACGCGAATGCGTTCGTTAAACACGTTTTCTCGGAATCACTAGCGCCGAATTCCTTTTTATCGTAGCAACCTTATCCAGTTTCTAACGAAAACGTTCAAGAAAATAAATGAGTAAAAACGAACCATCAATCAGCACGCGTTTAAAAACGCGTATAAGTCTAATTAAGATAATTAAACAATAAAAAGGTACGCGCGCGAAAAGTTAAAAGCCACGAGATAGAGAAAGAGAAAGAGAGAGAGAGAGAGAAACGCGATGATAACCATTAAATGTAATAAGTTATTTCTGGCTGGCGGAGCATCGATCCATAACTGCGTTATCCGATGGACGCGACGCCTTTTCCCGCCTTCTCTCAGTAGGGAAACACCACTGTTCGATCGCCGAACAACGGTCACATCGTATCGATATTGAGATAAAGAGAAAAAGAAAGAGAGAATGATTTCAGCAATTTGGAAAGCCGAAAAAGCGGAGCAAATGGCTGCGTTCAGCAAAGAAAACTAATCGGTTGGCGCTTAGTAATTCTTTAATACGATTGGCTCCTACTCTTGGATTCAATGAAGAATCAAAGGTATGAGCCAATCATATTTAAAGAATCACCAAGCGCTAACAGATTAGTTTTCTCTGCTGAACGCAGCCAATGTCTCTTTCAAACGTACTCACAACATACAAACGCGATTTCATTCAACTCTTCTCCCTCGGCCTCGAGCTTCCCGCCTTTTCCCGCTCGCCGGTTCCGGAGCGATACTAATCTCCGCGCGCGCGCGCGCGTGGCGTATAGATGTATTTTTTGTGTCACATTTTATACGCGTATGTATATGAAAAGAGCGTCTTAAATATATTTATGTATATATTTGGGGAAAAACGTTCGAAAATCATCCGCCTTTTCCAGCGCCTTTCTGCTAGCCTCTCTTCGGTCATTTGCGCGCGCGCGCTCGCGATCTAATAGATACTCGGGAGGAATCACCGATGTAATAACAAGGACACATCGACCTGCGTGAACATGTGTACGCGTAGAATTCGGACCTCTCCACGTGATTGACGCGGCAGCGGAAAAATCTGCGGCAACGGCTCCTCTGGATTTTCGCCGTTCCGGCATTCGTTCGTTCGTTCGTTCATTTTGTCTTGACGCGGAGACGCAATCTCATGGTAAATTATCGGCTAAAAATACGGCCTATCGCGGCGACACGGCCGACGACGCGACGGGCGGCGATTTAAGATGAAAAATCACGGCAACGATGTTTTCTCGAAGGTTCGTAGTAACGCGCCGTTGCGCGCGACCGCCACAGCCGCGAAAAGAACAAGGAGGTAGGAGAGCACACACCGAGTATATAATGCACGGCGTTGCCGCTAGCTGCGCAAGTGGGATACCTTCGGCGAAAAGATCGAAAGAGAAGGACGGAGCGAGCCGCCGTCGCTATACGCATCGGCAGTGCCGAGCACGGAGCGCAAGAGGAACAAGGACAGACGGATAGGAAGGGAAGGGAAATACTCGTACAATCGGAGCGAGAGAAAAGGAAGCCTTCGTCGCGGAATTTATGTGAGCGAATTGGTAAACAATTTCAGAGCGACGTGTCGACCTGGAGTAGATGGACGCGTCGGTCGTCTATCGATCGTATTTGACGTTAACTCTCTTATAGCGAATTATCGATCAATTACGGTAGAAAGAGAACGCGTAAGCGTGACAGAGAGAGAACGAATGATGAACGCAGGCTTGGTTTTGGCCGCCATGATGGAAAGCGACAAACGGCGGGTGGCGATGATAAGTACGACGGCGATGGTGACGACGAACCGACCCGACGGCCGCCACGGAGATGAAGAAAATCAGATGCCCGCTTTTCCGAATCTCGACGCTGACACTACCTACCGCGTGAAAATGACGCTTGGGTAGCGGAGCACGCCGAGCACGAAGCAGCGAGATGCAAAAGCGGCGACGGTGTGCGCGTTCGTAGGTAGAGGGCGCACAGAGAAGAAAAGCCGCGAGGAGACGAAATCTCGCCGAATGGGGGGAAAAAAAAGACCAACGCGAGAAACTAGCACATGGCGCCGTAGAGATTTACTCCGTTTCTCCGATTGTTCCCTCTCTCTTCCACCTACCTCCGTTTCCCCAACGCTAAATAACGCTCTCACCTATTCGTTTCTTCCTTTCCATGCGCGCGCGAACGCGCGTAGGTTTCCAGCGTTGCTTCGAATTTCACGACTTGGAGCGCGGAACGTGGTAATTATAGCTTATTCCGGTAGGAGTCGTCATCGCCATCGTCATTATCATCATCGTCAGCCATCGGGCGAGAACAAGCGAGCGAGCGAGCGAGCGAAGACGGAAAAAGAGAAAAAAAGAGACTCGTCGCGTTCGCGATGGTCTCGTCACAAATACACAATAGCGTCCCTCGCGGCCGCGCTGAAAAAGCACTACGCGCCGAAAGAAATACATACCCTGCACGGCACGGCACGGCACGGCACGGCACGGCACGCCACGCGTCCGATCGAGCGTGCTCGACTACGCTCGGAGTCGCTCGCACGGAAATATGGAGTCTGCCGCCGAAGAAATGCCGGCCGGCGCGGCGTTCTCCTCGCTACGCTGTGCCGTCGCTCGGCGGCGCGGACTACAGCGGACTACAGTGGGCTACACGGGAGCACGTTCCGCCACGCTTCGTGCGGTCCACGACCGGTCAACGGCGATGCGTAGAAGACGCCGAGCAGGCGGGAAAATCCGTATCGGCGG